AGTCCGAGTCCATATTTATATTTCTTTACTTAAAATATCAAATATCAAGCGAACACTCTCTTGATAGGTATGTGTATTTTTTGGGCACACCTTTGGTTGCAATATCATAAATGATAAGTGAGGATGAAGTTAAAGGTTTCAAATTAGAGCTCTAATGCCGTATTAGACGAGATATATAAAAGGTTAAATACTCAAATATGAGCTAATAACGTATTTATAATTTTCTTCTAGAGTATTTGCCCCATCTTAATTGAATTTGGGTAACGTGTGGGACAACTTGTCCTATATATAGCTCATCGCTCCCTCTCTCGATAATCAAAAACTTGCAACCCCACTGGTCTTGCCAGCTCCTTCTTTAAACCCAAAAAAACTTCTCTCCCTCTCTCTCTCTCTCTCAAAAATGGCACCAGCATCGGACTCTTTCAACCAGACCTCCAACACAGTCTGTGTAATGGATGCATCAGGCCACGTAGGCACCACCCTCACAGAGCGCCTGCTGCAAAGGGGTTACACAGTCCATGCTGCCCTTCAGAGCCATGGTGGGTTTTAATCAAAATCTCTTTTCTTTATTGGTTTGGGGGTGAATTATTCTTATCATTTTCTGTTTCTTAATTGGTTTGGGGGTGTTTGAATATACTTAGGTGAATCGCGGTTGGGTGAGCTTTCTTGTGACAGAAAGAAGCTCAAAGTATTCAATTTAGACCCATTTGACTACCAGAGCATACTTGATGCTCTCAAAGGCTGCTCTGGCTTGTTCTATGCATTTGAGCCTCCACAAGACCAACCCAACTATGATGTATGTTCCATTCTTCCCATCCATCTTCTGCACTTTTCATTTTTATTTGAGTTTAATTTTGTGATTTTCTCACCCAAAAAAAAAGAAGTTGCAAGGGCTTGTAGCTCAATGGTTAAGTGCAATTTACCCCTGCACTTGAGGTCTTACGATTCGATTCCCCTCTCCCAGTATCGCTTGTATAAAAATAAAACTGCAACTGTGGAAGTTTTTTTTGTTTTGATAAGGCAACTGTTGAAGTTGGGATGATTATGTAATGAAGGAAGGGTAAAGTATACAACATGAACTTCAAACATTTTTTTAATAAAAAATTAAAAGGAAATTTAATGATGTGAACTGATGCACTCAACCTTTCTCTGATTGGAGATTCAATTTTCATGCACTTTCAATGGTGACTAGAGGAGCAACGTTCCTTTACGTCAAGTAAACTCAAATCACTCTAGTTTAATTTGCTCACTGAGTTGCTTGTCAATTCCTATTTCAATCTCTTGCTTCCTTTTGAGGGCCGACAGTCATTTCAGTTATTACTGGAATTTTTTAATTTTTTTTTGGAGTAGTGAATATAAATAAATAAGTGATTGCTTGTTGAGGGCTAAAAGTACTCGTTTTTTTACGCAGAAAATATTAAAAGTGCTTATGAATCAAGAAAAGCATCTGGATTTTTAATAAACATTTCGAGCTCGTTTGGGAGTGATTCTGGATAGGCCAGAATCACTTATAGGAAGAAGCATCTCCCATGTGCTTCTTCATAAAACTGATTATTAGCCTCTCCAAAATCACTCTCAAAGGAGCCCGAAAAGTGCTTAAGAACTTAAGCAGTCCTAAAGGGCCCCAAAATTAGTTTAATAAATTAATTTTTTTCTCTTTTAATACAAGCGTTATTGGGGAGGGAGAAGTTGTCGAAATAAGGGTGTTGTATTTGGATTTGGATTTGGATTTGACAGTGAATTTAGATTCGTGAAAAAGAACTATGAGAACATTACATGCGAATATTATAAAGTAGATTTGAAATTATAACTTAGATGTAACTCAATCCACATGCATGTATGATCTCCATGTGCTTCTGCTTCTTCTAATGCAAATATAAAAATTATGTATTGTCAATAGTTCAATCAAGGTCTGTTTAACTATATAATAATAATAATAATTAAGTATTTAGATTCAAAATCAGTCATTTCAAATGGGACCTAGTTTTATTTTTATTCAGTAAGTTTAGGAACCACTTGGAATACACTTTTCTAATTGCACGATTTAGCAACCACTTGGAATTTGTTCTTTGTTTTTTCTTATTGTAATGGGGTAGACAATTTGATTAGATATGAGCAGTTGAATTATATAATTTTAGAAAGATGACATGCTACTTAGCTGTGTAATAGCAGTTTTACTGATATTTCAGACCGAAAAAATCTATTCCCGTTACATGAGAGTTTCTCTCGTTTCAAACGCCTTTTTGTCATTTCCTCTTAAATTATTTCATTAATAAGTTGAAATTTTGCATCATGTGTTTATATAGTTTTAAAAATTTTGATCATTTTATTGAGATTTGATGGTGACGTGTAGGAATACATGGCAGACGTAGAGGTGAGAGCAGCACACAATGTGCTAGAAGCATGTGCAAGAACAGAAACCATGGACAAGGTTGTGTTCACATCTTCAGCCACCGCAGTGGTTTGGAGAAACGACCGTAAATCAATGGCTCTGGAGTTGGATGAACGACACTGGACTGATGTCAATTTCTGTCGCAATTTCAAGGTATAAATTTCCAACTAGTCAACTGGGTGTGTTTATTTATTATCACGTAGGGTCTTACTTCAACAAGACTTTTTGGTGCTTGTGGCCCAAAAACCAGTAACAACTTGGACAAAGTGTATGGTGCCAAGCCAAGGAGAAAAACTTATATATCACGTCACAGGGATAGTACTGCGTTGCTATCTCCAAACCAATCACATTCTGTTACTTGTAAAAGTTATCACGAGTGGTGGAGTGTGGCTGGTCCCTCGATATAGAAGTTTCCTCTTAAATTATTTCATTAATAAGTTGAAATTTTGCATCATGTGTTTATATAGTTTTAAAAATTTTGATCATTTTATTGAGATTTGATGGTGACGTGTAGGAATACATGGCAGACGTAGAGGTGAGAGCAGCACACAATGTGCTAGAAGCATGTGCAAGAACAGAAACCATGGACAAGGTTGTGTTCACATCTTCAGCCACCGCAGTGGTTTGGAGAAACGACCGTAAATCAATGGCTCTGGAGTTGGATGAACGACACTGGACTGATGTCAATTTCTGTCGCAATTTCAAGGTATAAATTTCCAACTAGTCAACTGGGTGTGTTTATTTATTATCACGTAGGGTCTTACTTCAACAAGACTTTTTGGTGCTTGTGGCCCAAAAACCAGTAACAACTTGGACAAAGTGTATGGTGCCAAGCCAAGGAGAAAAACTTATATATCACGTCACAGGGATAGTACTGCGTTGCTATCTCCAAACCAATCACATTCTGTTACTTGTAAAAGTTATCACGAGTGGTGGAGTGTGGCTGGTCCCGCGATATAGAAGTTTTTCGTTGATGCCGGGGCTTTCATGTCCCCACACCTTAAGTAGTAGTAGTTACAGAGTGTGCTGATTAAGTAGTTAGGTTAGGAGGAATGTGATCCTCTTAACAACGCATGGAGACCTAAAATCTGCTCCAACACTTGCTAACAGTTGGTTTGTTGGTGTGGAATTTAGTAACTTTGAACTTTACCGTTTGTTGGTGTGAATTCTTAATAATGATATGGCAGAGCTTCATGATGTTGGTCTGGCGACCATAGACTCCTGAGTTTGCATATAAACTATATTTTAGTTTTTTTTATTCTTTTTTTCACAAAATATTAAAATATATATATATGATGAAATTGTACTTTTTTATTCTTTTTTTGACAATTTCAGTCCTATGGTTTTCTAAGACGGAAATCTTATGTCACTCTAACGTGGCAGCACGACACGAGATGTGGGCTGAGATTGAAAATAGAAACTACAGAAACAAAAGTAGAAAATTACTCAAACTATAATATGACTTTTAGAAAAGCTATATATAATGGCTCCCTCCAGTAAAATATTTAGATCCCTAACCCTTATGAAAGCTTTCTGGCCCCATCTGGTGAGCAAAGCTGGCATATATTTCCCTTGTGTCCAAAAGTGACCTCGAAATTATTAGATTTCCTCTTTACTTCTGGGTCTACTTGATGTTGGCTAAAACATAATGAAATACTAAATTAAATCTAACCCTTGCATGTTTTGTTCTTGAACAGTTGTGGCATGCCCTATCAAAAACCCTAGCAGAGAAGACAGCATGGGCATTAGCAATGGACAGGAGCTTGAATATGGTGTCTGTGAATGCAGGGTTGTTGATGGGTCCTGATCTGTCCATCACTAACCCCTATTTGAAAGGAGCGGCTGAGATGTATGAAGATGGCGTGTTGGTGACCGTCGATGTAGATTTCTTGGTGGATGCTCACATTTGCGTCTTCGAAGATGTCTCATCCTACGGTCGATATTTGTGCTTCAACAACATCATCAATCGGTCTGAAGATGCTGTAGAGCTGGCTAGAAAGTTGACCCCTTCTGCCCCCTCACATCCCAAAAGCCAAGATCAAGATGATATGATGATCATTCAACAGCGGATTAGCAACAAGAAATTGAATAAACTAATGGTGGATTTCAAGAGTAAATCCCAAGAATGTTGATGATGATGTTGGCAATTAGAAGGCGCATGTCATTAAGAATTTCAAAATAATGATTTTTCGTGTATATTTAATATATATAATAGTATAATGGCTAATTGTTAGTAATATCTAATTTGATTTCCTTCTTTTTGAAGCTTGAAGGTTTTCAGTAGTGCTTTGGACAATCGGCCATGGACGACTGTGTGAGCATAGGCGCGGGCGGTTGTCTTTAGCATTTTTCGAAATTTTTGTAGTTGCATTATTATTTCAGAAATCAACCAAAGCACCCCGTTCGGTAATGTTTTCAGAGAATATTTTCTTAGAATATTTTCAGAGAAAGAAAATAAGAAAACGAATTTGCATTTTCAGGAAATAAAAATGCGTTTTGTTAGAGTTCAAATATTAATTTAAAGAGGTCCCAGTGGGTACTTTATCCCCTGGGATTTTAGGTCGCTAGTTAAATAAATCTAGGATTAATGTTAAAGAACTCCTACACATCGCTTTAACTGTTAAAATAATGTAAGTGTTGACCAAAGTATCCATGATGTTAGCTCAATAACAGTTACAAGAGAATCCTATACATCGCAACAATTCTACAAGTTTCAGCTACAAATTTGCTGGGAGGGATCGCCTGCTCTAATAGTCTTTTGAAAACCTGCCACAAACAAGCATTCCTTAAATTTACAAGATACATTATTAAAATTCAAGATTATTTCTCTTTGAAAAATACTTACGGTAACATGCAGACAGAGTGCAACTGTTACCTCTTCTTCACCAAAAGCTGTTCGACTAGTTGAGCGAAGAATACATTGAATAGAGTTTAGCGCATTCCATTGTAGTTTAGCTTATGCTTCCGAGGCAAGAGAACTACAAACGAGCATAACTTGGATATTTAGGCAAAGCAATAGCTAGCTACTAAGATAATGACATTACACCATAAAAGTACCTTCAGATATGCTGCAAAAGCTTTCTCGGGGGAAGATCGCCCCAGGGTCTGCTCTATTCCGGCAAGAGACAGCCAGAGCCAGGCAATTTTTACTGTTGAGAACAAGATACAACTAATTAATGAGTTTTAGAGGCGCATTACCAGAGTTGGCAGTTTCAAAGGGTACACAATGTATTCCCTTCATCAAGGTGATTGCAGAACTCTATAATTTGAAGACCGTATTTCACCTAAAACGAAAGAGAAAAATTGAAAAGCATACCTTGACCATGATGGAACAAATTTACTATTTAGCATAGCATCGTCATCTTCTTCGTTTTCATCATCTGATTGTTTGTATGGAGAGATTTCATATGACTGTTCTGGACGTGTATTGGCAGCAGAATTCCCATTGTCTATTGCTTTGTCTAAATTGCTCGGTACCTTAAAAATCACATGAAGTATCAGCATGAAGCTGTAAGACAAAGTAATGTACATGAAATATGCAGCCATTTATGTGCAAGAAAACTTTCTAAAGGTGGCTCAGGTTGGAGTTTACAATAAGCTGTTAGTAGTTACCCTCCAGCCTGCAGCAAAAGCTCAGAAATTCTCTTTCACATAGGCCTCCGTAGTATGAACTATGCAAGTAAAACCACTCAACATATGAATAAATGTTATTTCAGAGGAAGGAATAGGTTTAATTGTCTCGTGTGCATAGTTCATATGTAGTGCTTGTTGAAACCTAAGATAAGTGAATATCAATTCTTAAGAAGTCATTAGCATTTACCTCTGCGTTATATCCAAAATTACTCAAGGCCAAACTGTGTTCTTCATGGATAATACTCTCTCTTCTGGCATTACTTGTTGAAACCCTGGAAGTCCTAGGCTCAGTCTCTGAAATGTTCCTGAAAGTGTCATATTCCCTTTCTTCCTCCATTGACTTATGCGCTGTTTCATCCTTGGATTCCTTACTCTCATGTCCTCTTCCATCCTATATAAGACAGTCCAATACTGAATGTGATTTCTAAAATAGCACAAAGATAGACTTAATAAAATGTGAAATGGCATGAAGAATCATACAATGGCCTGGTACTTCATTTCTTTATCTTCTTTTTCTGCAGGTAACTTGTCTTCATGTTCTCTCTGCTGTCTCCGTGCTTCAACACGCTTTCTTTTTCTTTCCTTCTCCTTCCTATCTTCCTCTTCCCTTTGTCTCTTCTTTGTCGCCATATCAGCATCTTTTTTCTTCCTCTCTTCTTCTTTCTGTTTCTTTTGCAGCTCTAACTGCCTCATATTCGCTTGCTCCTTTCTTGACCGCTCAAGCTTCAAGGCTTCCTTCTTCATCTTGCGCTCATTCTCTTTCTTTTGTGCAAGACGCTTTGCAGTTTCGGCAGCCTCCAGGGCCTTCACTTTGATGTCCCTCTTCCCTACAAGAAAGCACAAGAAGCTCCAAATACTGAATCAAATCATCGGAGAACAAAAAGAAACAAAGAAAAGAAAAAGATTCCAAAATCTTCACGGGACATTCACAATGATACAATCAAACAACAGATGAATCATTGTCAAGCTCCTACCGACATGATGAGTTTACCAATAAAATACTTTATTACTGAATGATCCCAGACATGCAAAACTTATTTACAGCTCCGAACATAACACTCCTCGATTCAGTAAAAACAAAATGATCATCCATACTGTAGTCCAGTTTCCACACACCGTTATGATCCGCACTCTAAATACACTCATATGGAATATGTACATGTAATGCAATTCCAAAGTTCTAGAATTGACGATTCTTCATGATTAAAATTACTAGTAAGAAATTACCTGTTACAACAGCAGCTGATTGTTTCTGTTGAACAAGAGGAATGAAGGAAGTCATACTCGACACAATATTGTTACGCTTAGGCTCCCGCTCTAACAAACTTGGACCGCCTTTTCTCAAGCTGGATTTTCCAGACAATTTTGGTTTACGAAGTGATCCAGTGGTCCTCTTAATATCATTTGTTCCTCGTGATATGCTCAGGTTCTCCTTGTTGTTATATCTTCTCTTGATGCTGTTTTGGATTCCATGCTTCAGTTTGAAGCTCTTATGAGTCCCCGTTAAGCTGAATTCAGTGTTTACTGAATCTAGACTAAGTCTATCGGCATGCAGTTCAGCTTTCAAAACTGATGCAGGAGGGTTTGAAATTTCAGTAATGTCAGCAAGTGGTACTCTTTGTATTGAGCTATTTAATACTTCTGAAACAATGCCATCTCGGGAAGTATCAGCTACCTCATCTAAATTCTCATTTTCTTCACTAATGCAGGGAAGCTCTGGATTTAAGCTCCCTCGCTTCCCTGAGCTGCTAGTGCTTGAACCAGTTCTATCCCAGAGTTTCCCAACTGGCGATATGTAAGGCTTCTTAATGTCCCAACCAGATTGACCACAACGATTTGGTAGGCAATCAGAATAGGACCTTCCATTAAACGCCTGGCCAACTTCCTCACTCAAGCAACTATGACCATCCTTTAATGGCTTGACAGCATCATTCATAGGCAAGCCGGTCCTCATATCCACACCGCCCTCTAGAAGCCCAGTTGGAACAGACTTGTAGAGATTTGGAATTTTGTGCAACTTATATGAAGCTGAAGAGCATGCTACTGGAGTTTGCATGCAAACAGATTTGCAAAGCTGCTCCAAAATGCTGGCATGTTCAAATGTAGTGCTCGGAAGGTTGCACTCATCAAAGTTAATATCCTCTTGAGCAATGCTTGTTGGTTCGTCATCTGTTTCTAAAACGAACCCCTCAAGCTCAGGCTTTGTATCATCACTACCAATCAAATCCAAGGATTGGCCACGTGGAGAACCAACTGAAAAATATGAAAATTTTCTGGTTCCCCCAAGATCAAATCTCTTTTCCTGCAGGGCTCTTCCAGCGCAAGTCCAATTTTCAACATTTCCTAGTGTAAGATTATCCTCAAGAGGAAGAGAAACATGGTTCCCTTCTATGCATGGACTTCCTGTATCAACAATCAAACAATCTTGAGACTGGCCAGCACCCTGCTTCATCAAACTTGAGAGAAGTGATGCTTCCAATTCTTCATGCATAAAAGTGAAAGGTGCATTCCCACTTCTGTCCCCCTCTCCCAGGCTGATTTCACCCTGTGAAACACAATCTTATTAGAACAGATTAAATAACAGCAGACAAGCAACCTGACCAATATAAGAGAGAACAAGTAAACAGAAAATCCCAAATAAAACAAGACTGCTAAATAGGATAGCAAAGATATAAGGGAAGTAGCTTAGCTGAGAGAGAGAGAGAGAGAGAGAGAGAGAGAGAGAGAGAGATCAATGCATAACAGAAAATTGAGTACCTCTTTCATATGTGCTTTAGGTGAAGATTCAGACCTCTCTATCATTTGGTGATCCTCATTTTGATGTGATTCTTCAACTGGACTTCTACTGACAATTGATTTCACAACATCCTCCGGAGAAATTGAAAGGCCCTGAGATTCTAGTATGGCCTTTGGACTATGCGCTACACTTCCCAAGTTTCCACAAATAGAATCTCTATTGAAAGTGTGAAAAACCTTTTCTATCAAGTCTCGTGAAGAAGACAGGTGCTCAATCTTTCTTCGTTTATGCTGAGGCCATGAACCCTCCATAGAAGAGCTAAGACTTCTTCCCTTGGATTTCTCTGCAATCCGGCATTCAGTTGATTTGGTATAACCTACATCTACCTTATCACCAATACTCCACATTTCATAGTTTGGAGAAATCTGTGACCGTATAATCGGCTGAGGCAAGTTACCCTTCATCTCATCCGTGGAAGCAGCACAAGGATTCTCAACTGCAAGATTCTTTGCATCCGGGATTCTAAAAGAACCAAGTTCGGACACCATAGTAAAATCAGAATCTGTTGATACTGTAGGATTACCAACGGCATGAGAATCCAGTGCACTCTCTTCTGTGACCAATTCAGTTGGTTTTGCAGCATTAACATTAGACAGGCTTTCAACCAAACTTTCCTGGGCTACTTGCAAGCCAGTTGGATTATCTGTCAAAAAGGATTTCTGAACTTTGCCACTTTCTAGCAAAGTATTAGCAACTCCATCCTTATGAGCATTGGATGTCTCTTTTACTGATGAGGCAGCATTTTCATTCGAGGCACTTCCAGATTTATGCAACTGCTCTTCTGGGGCTTCGGATAAACTATTCTGGAGCTCCTTTCCTCTGACAGAAACTTCCCGATCCCCCAGAAAACTCATCTCCAGTGGTGTGTTACAATTGTCTTGGTAATTGACAGTTATTCCTTCAGCCAGTATATTTTCAGCATGCATCAAGGAAAGAGAACCTTTTTCTGATGACCTACCCTGCATTCCCTTCTTAAGAGCAGGAGTAGAAATTCCATTCAAACAGAGCTCTTCCACGTCATCAAAATTAAGTTGCTTGGGATTCACAAACGCATAATCAGCGGGCTGCCTTGAGTGTAAAACTTCTCCTCCAACTCTAAGCCCATTACCATCCAAGTTAGATCCAGAATGAATAGGATTAGCTTCAATACATCCACCAGGATCAATTTCAGTTTTTCCAACACTTGCAACTTCAACAAATTCACTGGTTTGTGTACAAGGTACCTCTTGTACCATAGTACTGAACACATCCTGATGCCTGATACCTGCAAGCCCATGAGTCAGGTTTTCTGGAAAATGCTTGTTTGAAGCAGCAGATCTGGACTGTGTACCCCTGTGATCCAAAACCTGGGAATTGTCTTCTGTCCCACAATTAATTTCTGTGCAAGTATTTCTACCAGCGTAGTGATCTGCAACATTTTCCTTGTCTAAAGAGTCTATTGAATTCACTGCACATAGGTCTAGATCCCTTTGAATTGGAATAGACCTTCCAGTAGATATTTGAGTTCTCTGTGCAGCATGAGACTTGTTCGATGCAGCAGACATTGACTGGTTAATTCTTTGACCAGATATGTTGCTGCTGGTATCTTTTGCTACAATTCTTTGACCAGACATGTTGGAGCTGGCACCTTTTGCTATTCTTTCAACACTACGCACAACTTGTGACCCAGTACTTCTGGAGACAAACTCCAAAGAACAATTATCCTTACTTGAATGTTTTTCCCCATTTACTGCACTTAAATCTAGATTAACACATGTATCAGGAGGCTTGACTAAGTTCATTTCATCAACATGGTCAGATTGTAGGAAAGATATCGCACACCCAATAATCCCACCAGCACAACCATTAACATTGTTCTTAACCTGTGAACTGCTTTTATTGGCACTGTTGCGAATTGCCAGAGCTCTTTGTCTGGATTTGGATCTTTGAACTCTAGCCAGTGATAGAGCTGGGTCATGATAAGTGTTTGAGGTTTTTGCATCCCCCTGACCTTCAGGAGAAGTAACACTTGGATCCTCTTCTCTCTGATCTTGAGGAACACCATTGGAGGAATCTCCTGCATTACTAATGGGGCACTCTGGCAAAATTGTAACCTCATCTCCTGCACCTCTAGCTGGTGATAGAGCTGGGTCATGGTAAATGTCTGACATTCTTGCACCCCTCTGATCTTCTGGAGATGTAACACTCGGATCCTCTTCTCTCTGATCTTGAGGAACACCATCAGAGGAACAACGAGCGTTACTAATGAGGCACTTCGGAAAAATAGATACCTCATCTCCTGCACCTGTAACCGGTGATAGAGCTGGGTCGTGGTAAATGTCTGAGATCCTTGCATCCTTCTGATCTTCTGGAGATGTAACACTAGGATCCTCTTCTCTCTGGTCTTGAGGAACGCCATTGGAGGCACACCCAGCATTACTTACAGGGCAGTGTGGCAAAATCAAAACCTCCTCTCCTGCACCAAAACCTCTGTCAAAACCATCTCTGCCAAAACCATGAAGTTCAGTGCACAAACCATTTGGTAGCTCCCCATTGTGAGCTGTAGGAACTGGCTTGTCAAACACAGGGCAATGGCTATCGGTAAAATGGATCACAGGCTGTGCGCAAGGGAGTGGAACTCCTGAAATCAGCTCTTGTTTGTTCAACACTGTAATGAACAAATCAAAAGATTCTTAAGCCATTGGCATAACATAAGGGCAAGGACATTGCTTACATACAGCAAGTATACAATATACATACAGTATACAGATGTGTGTGTGTTAGTTCAGGCCGTGCAACTGAAATTCCCTTTTCACTGAAGCCATTCTGAGATACTTGTCATGACCAGTTGATGTATCCTTCAAATTACAAATAATATCCTGAATTACAAACTTTCTTGGAAACCAAACAGAGAACTAAGAAATCCTTGTGGTTCGAATTATACTAATACATAATGCAATATTAAAAACCTAGGATTCATTTGTTTCATCATCTAAAAACTTAATTGCTACTAAAATCAAAACAACACAGAAACTATTTCAGTCTAAAGCAACAAAATTAACAATGTTATTAAAAAGATGCCTTCCAAAACCACGCAATTCGAAGTGAAAATGACAAGAGTTGTAGAGAAATTATGAAAATGGAAATGAAGGTAGGGAAAGTAGTACGCACCATGATTGGGGTCGGAGGAGGAGGAGGACAAAAGCCACGGAGGAGGGGCAATTCCGTCAATAAGGCATTTGGAGGCGAGGTGTTGCTCGAAGAGGTAGGCCTGGTGCTTGGCTTGGTTGACGATCCATTTCTTCCTCTCGAAGATTTGCACCAACAGCTTCTCTGTCGTCGGCATTTTCACACTTGAACCATGGATTTCGATTCACTTAGTTACAGAGAAAGAGAGAGAGAAAGAGAACGTCTCCTTGGTCCCGCTGAAGCAAGAAGGGCTCGACGAGTAAGTTTCAAGGTGGGAGAGTTGAGAGAAAAAAGGCACTGCCGGTTCAGATGTTGGGAAAGCTGAGGCGAGGAGGAGGGTCTGAAGACTCAGTCGCAGGCGCAGGGTCTGTATGGGTTTTGGTTTTTGTTTGCGTTTAGGCTGTTTTTTTGGCTGGCGGGGGAGAGGGAGATTTGATTTTGTTTTTTTAAATCTTTTTCCAACTTCTAAAGCTTGAATAATAAAACAAGGAGAATTCCAAAAAAAGAAAAAAAGAAAAAAAGAAAAAAGGGAGAAGTAAATTTTTTTTTCATTCTTTTTCTTTTCAAGTTTCAAAAATATAAACCCGATATTTGGAAGTATTAGTTTCTTTTCAAGTTTCAAAAATATAAACCCGATATTTTGAAGTATTAGTATTTTTACATCGGAAATCTTCCTGTCAAAGATTTTATATTAAGGATTAGTTAAACACTTTTAATCTCATTAATCACATGTATAGTATAGTACATATTAAAATGTTTAACTCACTAACACATCTAATGAACGAATGAGTTTAAACATTACTAGCCTCTTGGCCAATTGGGTTTTTGTTGTTGTTATTTTTAATTCTTATCTATTAATTAGTTAAATATATAAATATATAAAAAGATAAAAAGATAAAAAGATAAAAAGAAAGTAAAAACAAAAAATAGATGAATGTGGGTATAGTGGAGAGAGATGAATGTGGTGGTCAAAACAACGCACGCTCAGGAGCAGACGATCACTTCCACAGTAAAAGACAAAACCTTGAAAAGGAAAAAGTTAAAAAAAAAATACCGAAAATGGTTAAAATATGGAACAAATGTACAGAGCCTCTTTCTGTCTCTCCTTCCTTTGATGTGAAAATTTGGAAATCTCCTCCTTTTGGGGGCTCTCTGAACCAAATCTATCTCTAAATTCTCTTTCTTTTTCTTTCCTTTTAATTTCCTCATTCCTATCAATTCCTCTACCACGTTCCCCTTACTGATTCAACAATTTCCCATTTTGCTAAGCCATTTTCTGATGGTCTCGTCATTATCTTTTGGACATTTTGAGGCTGTAGATCCAACAGCAATTCCAACTTGGTAACTTGTTTCATTTTGGTTAGATTTTTGTTCAAGTATCTTGCTTTGATCTGTGCTGTGCCTCCTAATTTGTTGTTGTAGTAGTAGCAGTAGCTCCTTGCTATTTCTCGGGAAGGTTCTTAGCTAAAAGCTTTGTAATTTGTGTTGTAGATGTGTTCTTGAAGTACCCATTTCTCATATTGCTAAGATTTCTCAAAATTTCAGCAATTTGTATAGAATTTTGGTGAATTCAGCTTGTGGGTACTTTCCTTTGTGTTACGAGAACCTGTAAGATAGCACTTAGGGTTTGTAATACTCTTGTTTTCTTTCAAGCACTGTACTTTTTGTGTTGAGGAATTATACTTGCAATGGATTATGGAAGAGAAACTAATGTAGTCCAAGTATTCACTGGGAGTAGTGTTGGGGGTGATATTTGGCCCGCTGATCAAGCAGTTTGGGCTACTGAGGATGAGTACCGAGTTTGGAATAATGGTGATGCATTGGCGGACACCATGTCCAACTCGAATTATGATCAAAGGCAATCTCAAAGTCGCTCTGGAAGCGAACCCCCAAATAAGAAATCAAGGAACTCCCAAGATGCAACTTCGTCTAACCGGTCAAAAGCCATTGGGAAAATGTTTTTCAAAACCAAACTTTGTTGCAAATTCCGTGCTGCGACGTGTCCCTACGTCACTAATTGCAACTTTGCTCATAGCATTGAGGAGCTTCGAAGGCCACCCCCAAATTGGCAAGAAATTGTGGCTGCTCATGAGGAAGAAAAGGGGGTATCTTCGGAGCCAAGGGAAGAATATCAAATTCCAATAGTCTCTACAGGTTATGGTGTGGAGACTCAGAGGTCGTATAAAGGGAGGCATTGCAAGAAGTTTTATACTGAGGAAGGCTGCCCTTATGGGGATAATTGTACTTTTCTTCATGATGAGCAGTCGAAGAATCGAGAGAGTGTGGCAATAAGTTTAGGTCCAGGAGGGTATGGTGGTGCTGCAAATGGAGCAAATAACAAGCCATCAAATTGGAAAACAAGGATTTGCAATAAGTGGGAATTGACAGGATATTGCCCATTTGGAAGTAAATGCCATTTTGCTCATGGCGTTGCAGGTATGATTTATTTACTTTTTCCGTTTTTGCTTGATGGAAAGCATTTGATGTTGATTCTTTATATATGATAGCTCAGTTTTGAAAATTCAGTAATTTTGCTTGCTCTAAGATTTGAGAATGATATTAATCCATCTTCCATAGCAGTAAATAATTCCCTTGTGTTGCCACTTTTTCAATGTAACTTTTCATAGAGCTAGCCATCTTGCTTGGGCTCCCATTCTATAACTTTTATCTCTACTTTCAGTTTCATTACATAGATGCTTGGTGTCCTGCATTTCCGATGTCCAAATAAGTGAGACACTGCTAGCTATAATTTGTGGTAGAAATTTTAATTTCATGCAACATTTAAGTCCAAGCTTTTCCATGTTTTGCTTTTGATTTAGGAAAGCACTTGAGTATATATTTTTTTTTTGGACGAAGCACTTGAGTATATTAAGAAATCAATTATGGTTAAATACCACTATTGTTAGTTTTGTAATAGTTTCAAGATTATGGTATACCAGTTAACTTGTTCTTTTGGCGCATCATTAACAAAGACTAACTACATATGCTTTTTCCTTGTAAAAGAGAAACATGAACACATGATTGTTTGTTTTTCCTCATAAAGCAAAGACACTTGTCAATGCACTTTTGCGTTCATTTGTCTATCATAGAGAACCTTGGACAGAAGTTCTAGATTGCAAGATCATAACGTGATTCTATTCCCGACCGGCCAACCCACCTTTTATTTTATCCAAGCTCTAGGGCGCTTCAGTGAAAAGTTACCTGAACAGAAATATGCAAACTACATTGTAAACTTATTGTTTAACTTGTCCACCTCGGTTATTGGTTATGGCAGAGAGTGTATACTCATTATGCATGGAAGGGAAGAAATTTCCTCCTCTCTCTTTCTTAACCATCTGTGGCCTTCAAGCAAGGTGCTATTGAAGTTGCCCATGCTGATTGGCCCAATTGAATAGTTTGTCTGTTTCTTTATTGTTAATATAAGTGTACATGAGTATGATTAGAGAATAGGAAGGTAAAGGAAGAAGACCAGCTGAAGCATGCCCTTAGGACTCGAGTAGCCAAGTAAGAGGCTACCATCAGTACAGATTAAATTATTGCAGTTAAGCCTAAGCTTTTCCATGTCAAGTTATTGTCGCTTGTCCACCCCTGTTATTGCTTATGATAGAGAGTGTATACTCATTATGCACGGAGGGAAGAAATCTCCCCCTCTCTCTCTCTCTCTTTTATTTGTATTTATTTTTAACCATCTATGGCCTTGATGCAAGGTGCTATTGAAGTTTCCTATGCTGATTGGGGCAATTAAATAGTTTCTCTGTTTCTTAGTTCTAGTAGAAGTCTACATGAGCATGATTAGAGCATAGGAAGGCGAAGGAAGAAGGCCAGCCGAAGAATTCTCTTTAGACTCCAGCAGCCAAGTGAGAGGCTACCATTGCTCCAGAACGAATTATTGCAGTTTAATCCTGGAAGAATACAAAGAATAAAAGACCATCCACAATCAGCAATTCATCCAGGGGGCTGGGTCTATTCCCCAACCCGCTTAAAAACCTTAGCAGAAAATCCAGGACAGAACAATCAGTCCAAAAAAGGCCTACATCTGACTAAGGAGGAGGCCGCAAGTATTATTAAAAAATATTTAATACAGGCATATTTAAGCCTAGGCAAGGAAAGTTCCTAATTAGAAGCTCTATATCATTTTTTTAATTCCTTTTTACAAAACTAAAATTGGACGTACCACCTGAGCCTCTATAGTTTTGGAAGAAACAAAGCTTTCAGCATAATTAGCAGTAGAGAACAAGATGGTGTACTGACTCTCCACTGCTGACACAGAAACTATTTGTGGAAATTTGTATTGTTTTGGTCTGCGCTGCCCGTAAGCATATATATATATATTTTGACATAGTGCCATATAATAAGTAAAACATGCACACACGCATACATTCCTTTTTCTTTTTACTGCTTAATATCTCCTTAAGCCATACAAGTTTCTAACTCCTATTATGCCTTCAAGGGAGGAAGAAAACAAATACACAAACTCTAGTTCCTACTCTGGATGTTGCTAAGAAACCTGAGGTATTTAATATTCCAACTGTTAAAGTTTAAAACAATTGTTTGCACATGTCCTAACTGCTTAAGGTTTTGGGATCTAGTGATTGCCTAACATAGGATCAGAGCATTGGTTGGTGGAGATCCTTGGTACGAAATCTCCAATCCCCATTCTCACTTCTTTGTTGGTTTGCAAGGTGCAGGATGGGGCTGCACCTATACGTTTCTCTCTCTGAATTTCTCTGCCACTCCGCATGTAGGATGGCGCTTGCACGAGAGAGAGGGTGTTAGTTTGATATACATTCCCTTACAGCTTAAGCTTTTGGGCAAGTGGTAAACCAAGTATGTATATCACCTGACAAACTGTACCGATGGTGTTAAACACAAATTAGGGACCGGCTTAAGAGAGGTGTGGCTGGACCACTTTTGAGGTGATCAATTTTTGCTCATTAAGGGGTTTGACTGGTGTATTGAAGTCTAGAAAAAATCCTACATCTTTCCTGAGGGAGGCTTGCATGGAATTTACACCTCAAGAGATAAAGCTTAAGCAAGGCTCATGTACATGCATAATGTTGTTGTACAACTTGATCTCGTTTGGCTGCCAGTGCTGTTACTGTTGTATTGTGAGTTGTTTTGGTAAGGATTACTAGTTTGTTTATTTTGCTTACTTTACGTTTTTTCTCAAATTAGTAAGTTTATCAGCTACTTAAGCATTAGTTTAAGATCTGGCCACAAAGTAAAGTGTTAGTACAAGTTTGTATGGTGTGATGTCTCTGTTAAGGTCACGAGTCAGCACACTTTGTTGACATTAAATGAAAATATGCTCTTATCATCAGTAGGTCTTAAATTTGTATGCCACTGAAGAGTAGCATGCTAATATGTTGTCTGGAATGTGGATGATTTGTCTTCAACTATTTAAGGGTGCTTTTTTACGTTTGGGTGCAATATCTATAGAGACTGTAGTGATCATATTAATATCCTCTTTCCTGAAAAGAAAATTGTAATAATCAAACTGCAGTTCAACTTAAACTGATGATGCTTTCATTATCTAACTTTGGAATTCTAAACTTCTGACTACAGAATTACACCGATATGGTGGTGGGCTTGTGGAGGGAGACGCTAGAGAGTCTTCTTCAGCCCCACCTGACAATAAGCAGGGTGGAGTACCTTCTAAAACCCCAGCAGATACTGTGGTAGTATCAGTCCCGCTAGTTCCTCATTCTGATGTTTATCACCTCGGAGTTCCATCACAAAGATCATCGATTGTAATTCAGAGGCCTGGGCAGAGAGCCCATCAGAAATGGAAGGGACCAGACAAAATCAGTAGGATATATGGTGACTGGATTGATGACATCGAATAAAATCTGGGATCCTCGCTTCCAAATGTTAAAGATGTACTGCGGTAACTTACATATATCCTCCATGGATTTAGATAGAAAACTAGATACCAAGTCTCTGCAAGAGATTTTGGGATCATGTAGCTGTAACTTATCTGTAGAAGTAGTTTTTGTTTCCTTGCTTCTAGTTTAGGTTTCATGCCTGGCTTGGTGAAGGCACAGCCCATCTGTTTCATGTGCGAATTTTGTTGTTACAATTAGAACTTGAAGCTTGTATCACTCTCTTAGTTGTCCTTATTACCATATACAATTATGGGATGACCCTCTTCGTCCAGAGAGACGACGGTCATTATCTTGTACCACTTTGTTCAAATTATCAATTAAAATAATTAAACATCTGGCGTTCACCCATTATGGCGTTGATCATGATACTTGTATCAAGGTTTTCCCTATTTTGAGGTTCTTTTTCCTGTCTGAAACTTTCTTCTCTGAAATGATTGCAAAATAACTCGACTAGAGTAAAGGGATGGGGTGGCAATGGGTTGTGTTCGGGTTGATCTAATTTATATTCGAGTCCTATATTTGTGTCGTGTTTGGATCGTGTAACAATATAATGTTTCTTCCAATTGGATATTTAATATTGTTTACTATTTAGTATTTAATGTTTCTGCCCTCTATGATATGAAAACTTCATATCTACAAATTTAATTAAAAACGTTTACCCTTTTGTTTGAACAGCCAAAGATGAGGGCGTGATATATTGGTGGCTTGGATTAATAGTGAAGAGAGTAATTTGTTGAGCCCATCCTTCTCACAAGGACTCGCTCAAAGCTCAATAGCTTTGGTTCTTACCAAAGACTAGAAACCAACACTTCCACATCACCCTCCCAAATTAAGCCAATCATTTTTGTATGCTCACAAAAACCAGATGCATCGACATGCCTCCTTGTTTCTCTCTTGCCAATGACTGACTGGAAGCAATCCCACAAACACAAACTAAGAACCCAACACCAACACCAACACATTGTTGTTCTCTTTGTAGCTTCATCTCATCACCATTCTTGTTCTTCTTCTCTGAATATCCATGCACTAAGGCTGGCCGGAAGTGCAAGCCGATCTCCGGCCACGTGGTTTTTAATAAGGTATAGCTGCTCAATCTTAGTTATGCAGGGAATGTCAGCATCGACCACACCGGATGCAGCTTATCCCCCATCCTCACAGCATGCGTCCTCCCCGCCAATTACTGTCGTTCTGACCGTCCTTCTCCTCGTGTTCTTCTTTGTGGGATTCTTTTCTATTTACTTTTGCAAGTGTTTCATGGACCATATCCTTACCTCCTTTCAGCGCTCTCCTGCCGGGGATCTCGTGGGCACGGCGGTTGTACCTAAAGAAGGCCTTGACGTCTCACTCATAGAATCATTTCCAACTTTCGTGTATGCAAGCGTCAAAGATTATCGGATAGAGAAGTACGGCCTAGAATGCGCAATTTGCTTGGTGGAGTTTGAGGATGATAGCATGCTGCGCCTCTTGACGGCTTGTTGCCATGTTTTCCATCAAGAATGCATCGACCTCTGGCTCGAGTCTCACAAAACTTGTCCATTTTGCCGTGGAAATCTCGAATCAATGCCCTCGAACTTAGCGGAGAAGTCTCCAGTGCTTGCTCACGAGAACGTCGCCATGCAGGAAATTCATGAAGGGAATGAGCCTGTGTTGTTGGATCCGGATGCTGTCCACGTTGACATCAAAGATGAACAAGGCCAAGATCAACATCATCAAGGAACTAGTACTAGTGATTCGTGGCCTCCGAATAAAAATAAAAATATTAACAATATGGTTGCAGAAGATGAACAAAGTAGTAGAACTAACCATGATCATCAAAACGTAGAGAATGAAACCGAAAGATTTTCGAGGTCACATTCGACAGGGCACTCCATAGTTAGGCCTAGAGCAGAGGAGGATAGATATACACTGAGATTGCCAGAGCATGTGAAGATAAAACTTCTAAGAGGGCATCATAACTGGACAGGAAGCTGTACCACATTTGGGGAGTTCTCACGCCAAACACACAATGCGGCTGGTGGCCACTTTGGAGAGGTCTCTGGCTCTGACGGTGGAGGAGACAATGAGAGACTTTAATTTTTTGTATTTTCGTTAATTTGTTTCTCTTCAAGATCTTCAAATATTTTTTTTCTCTCCTTTGGTTTTGTTCTTTTGCAAATACAGAAGGGTAGCTTAGCTAGCAACTTAGATGTGTTGGTGCATTTTTAGTTGGTTTGCCTTTTCTCTTGCGCGCCTGATCTTGCTGTTTTTTTTTCTTTTTCCTTTCCGAAAGAAGAAAACATTACAAAGAAGATCCCCATACAAGTCAAAATACAATATATGTAACACCTCTTTAGGAAAATTCCCAAACGAAATACACATATTCACAAAAGCATGTCCTTTTTTAGCCTCCGCCACTTGAATGGTTTCATGATAGAAATGTGATAAAGGAATAATTTTGAAACCCTGTAGAAGTTTCGAAATGTCTTAAACAATTGTTCGAATTCTGCCATTGGGGTGAGATATGATGAGTTAGAATTTGTATTAGAACTTTGGAATCGCCTTCAATTTCCAGCAGGGATAACTTGAGACACGAAGGAAGCCCAGATCAAAGCATTCCTTAAATGCCATAGCTTCAGCCTGCAAAACAAAGAAAAGCCAATAGGAATAGATGCAGCTTATAAAGGGTGAGCATAGTGATTTCTAATAACGAAACCCGTAGCAGAACGACCGTTTGCTAAAACAGAATCATCAAAGTTTATTTTAAAATAAGTATTGCTATTTTTCAACTTTTCAAAAGCTATATGATTAGCTTGCCAATAAAAACCACCACAGACTAACTTGAACAAGAAGGAAAACAAAGTAATGGAAAGAAACCAGACAAATAAATAACACAAGCTAGGCAAACAAATAGACAGCAGCAAACCCTACCCTCCGTTTGGATGAAGGAATTGAAAATTACATAGAATTCTAAAATGACTGAATTTAGATTTTCATCATTTCAATTTCTGACAATTGAATATTTTAGTGTTTGGATTTATATATGTCGAATTTTGTAAATGACACTATGGAAATTGTGAAATGACGCATATTTTGGTGGAAATTAAATTTGGGAATTTGATACCCCAATTTTCACAATTTTTGTTTTGCATCATTTAATAAATTCTGTGCTTAAGTTACCATAAAAGAGAATTGTTAATTTCTCCTTTTAAATTCCGAATTATTTTTCCTCATCCAAACGGAGGGTAGTAGGATTGGGATTAATTCGAATTCCTAATAGAATTTGTGTTTCCAATTCCAATGCCTATATATCTTCTGTTTTATATATAATAAGTAGAAGGTTTGGTCTTCCTTTCCATACCATTGTTGTGAACTAGTACTATATGGATAGAAAGATGTCAAGGGAAACAGATGAACCGGAGATTCTGCGGTGGCGATGGAAGGTGCAGCTCGCAATCGAGACCAATTGGTATGTACAAGGTGAGGGGTCCCCGAGACTCGGGGCTCTGGCACCATGCCCACGAGCCTAGTGGATCATGGGTACATGTGGAGCCTCAATCGTGCCGAGATATTGGAGGGTACGTAATTCTAATCCTTGTTCGGGCATCCATGCTGAAAATCAAAGGGTTTCTTCGTGACTACTTCCGGAGGCACGGGTTTACGGTTGAAGTGCTGGATAACAAGGTCGAAGAGTTTACTCGAGGGATACTAGGACCCAACGTGAAGTGACTGTGCGGCTGTGCCCTTTCAGTGGGTACAGAAAACGAGAGATCGCTGCGTTGGTAGTGATTGTGGCTGGCTCATTGACGAGGAGGCCAGGAAAGTCAGCAACCTTTGGCAACTCGGCCAACCCTGTGGTGTTGATAATTTTTTTATTTTTTATTCCTATTGATTTTCATTTGGCTGCTACGTACTGCTGCTGCTGCTGCTGCTTCTGCAACAACAAGAATCCCTACTTATAAAGAAGTCTTGCTCCTCGTCATCCTCCTCCTCGCTCGCAGGGTTGCGGAGCTCTAATTCCTCTTTATGGCCAGCATTGATTTGGTTTATTTTGCTTCCCAGTGTACACATGATATATGAATGCAATATATTCTTTTTTACTTTCAATTAATCAATCAAATTTACTTTTGTGTATTATTGTCCATTTTGAAATGCAATCTCAGTTTTTATATATATCAAGCGTAAATTCCTCATAGAAAAAGTGGGTAAATTGTAGTATTAATATTTTTTTTTTGGGCATTTAGATACATGTGTGTGTGTCCATGTTGTACACAATTCCATCCCTAGATCAAAACAAAAACATGAATCTTGTAGTGCAAGAGTTTTTTTCCAGTTTTGACATCATTTGAGACTGCTTTTCTAGAAAGCACTTTTATTCATAAGCGCTTCTAGCAAAAACACTTTTATTATAAAGATATTGAAATTTTCATAAGAAATCTAAGTGCTTCCTCCCAAAAGCAATCACAACACATGCTATATCATTCTATTTTCGCTATCTTGACTTTTATTCATAAGCGCTTCTAGCAAAAACACTTTTATTATAAAGATATTGAAATTTTCATAAGAAATCTAAGTGCTTCCTGAGAAAGCACTTGGGAGTGCTTCCTCCCAAAAGCAATCACAACACATGCTATATCATTCTATTTTCGCTATCTTGTTTTATGTGACATGTTTAATTTAATAAATGTGCTAGACCTAACCTAATCCTCTTAATTGATCTGATACCACATGTAAGATTACTTCCAAACCAATATGTCAACAATACTTAAGAGACACAATATGTATGAAAATAAATAAACTACCTGCTATCAGTGGCAGATTCTTGGTGGTAAGAATCAAGACAACAATTATCATAACCTTTCAGTATTATAATAAAATATACATAAAAGAATTATAACCAAGTTTTCGACCCAAAAAAAAAAACCCAAGTAGTTCAAGCAAAATAATCAATCCTGAAACTGTTTTTAAGTTTTCTTCCACTTAAGCAACTTCTTGCTGTTATTATGGTCATTATTTTCATATATTTTCTAGTGCTTGTACACATGTAAGCTTGAATTGATAGAGAAGTAGGAATAAGGTCGGGGAGGTATGTAGAAGTTAGTTTTATTTTGTTCTGACTGAGAGGCAAAGTACGTTTTCGGCATTTCATCGAACAGCTTATGCGCGTCCATCCGTAGATTATAAGGGCGTGAGTTGAAGAATTGTGTAAGGGTAATTTCGAGACTAAAGTAAAACCAGTCAGTCAGAACACTATCTCCGGCGAACAGAAAAATCCTCCGTTCTCCATGGATTCTCTCCCCAACTCCTTCAATCCAAACAAACGTCTCAAAGAAGAGTTACTATTCTCTCTCTAAATTCCTCTGCTTAACTAGAATTTTTTGATTCATTTTTAATTATCTTCTTCTGAATTTTAAAACTTTTGCAGGTTTGTGAGCAATTTGACTGGATCGTCCATGATGGAGATTGCCGCGCTTACCACAATAATCCCTGTAAATTAACCTAATTTCGGATTTTCATTTCTCAAGTTTATAACGAAAGGGTTATGTTTTTGTGTGTGTGTGTGTGTGTGTGTGTATGTTTTTGTAAATTCTGATGCCATTTTCCTGGTTGCCTTGCTTTTTTCAGATTCTGATTATACTGCGGCACTCAGTTGGCTCCAATCCTGTTGTTGGTAAGCCACAAGGACTTCTATTACCAATCAAATTTTTCTTTATGTTCTTTGTTCTCAAGTTACTAAAAGTTGATCCTTATAATTATTTGGGGGTAATGAACAAAAAATGGGTTCTGTAAATTTGTTGTTGTTCTTCTGGTGTGTGTTTGTGTTAATGATAAAGATTAGGCACCAAGGGTTTTGTGCTGTGTGATAGAACATTTATGAGAAATAAGTAAAATATCGTCTTGCAGTAGCATTGTTGACTTATCCCTTGAAATTCAGGCCTAGTTGGCTGACTGATTGTGCATGTAGGTAAAATTATTCTCTAGCTGTTAGATTATATATAGATAGCTTAGATGCATTCTCATTTGTCGCATCTTAGTCGTCCATGTTGGTGCTAAGAGTTGCCTTAACTATCAACAAAAAATCGTCATGGACTACAACGTTATAAACTTCCCCTTCACATGTCATGTTCGTGACCACATGCTAATCTTCCAAACCATGTGCAATTCTCATGACCACGGGCACCTAGAAACAAATCAGAGGCAAGATTGTCTAAGGTGTCGTTGTGACACTGGCCAAGTAGTTTGCAACGATTAGGTTAAGGTGCAATCTAAAATCAATTTTGGACAGATTTTGTAGGGTTTTGGCTTTTGGAGAAGTTTTGCAACGATTAAGCTAAGGTGTCGTCTGTGTGATGCAAACATATTATCTGATGCTAGCATTGTACTCTAAAAGATTATGTTTCATATTTTCTGACATCATCTTCCTCTGTTTTGGTAATACCAAACGAAGTCATGCATCTATATTGTATCTATTCACAGTACCATAAGCTTCTGGTCTCCAAGCTCGTTTGATATGTGATGCAGCTAATACGTTTTTTTTTTCTGATATTAATTTTTGTCCTGTGATTCTTTTACCATAGATGTCACATTGAAGAAAAATGATGATGCAGTAGTCGGTTCTAAGGGCAGACCAGCTTACATGTCTACAATGGCTTTCGATTTTCTTCTCATCGTGCTTCCAATCGTCTTAGTTTACACTGTAAGTGTTTTTAACTTGAGTAATTATGAAAACTTCTGAAGGATCCAAGCATATTGTGTTTGACCAGTTTTATGTTAGCTTTTGAGTAATCTTTGGATTGTGGCTTGCAATCATTTTTCTCCCACCATCTTTTTAAGAATCTGACAGCACTGCCCTTGTTCATGAACAGTCAAAGTTTCTCATAGTCATAGTGTCTAACTGTAGAATCTATATAGTTGGGCCTCCTGGTGTGTTTACATTATTTATTATGCATAAATGACATATACCTATTATATTCACAATGATCATAACTCACAACAGGTTTTAGCAGAGTGGATGTATATCTGGGCAACTTTGTTGACATTGTTACTGCTTATCAGAATTGCAGCCAACAGGTAAAATATATTAGATCACAATTTTGTTATAAAGAAATTATCGGATCTTTATGGTTTACTTTTGCATGATGAAGTCATTCATGGAATGTTCACAATGCTAAAAGATATTTGTATGAGCAGAGGAGCATATATATGGCTTGGATATTGATACACTGCTGTATGCACTTCAATACAGGTTTGGTTCTTATTCTAATTTGAAGGAAGATCCCTATTCTGTACGAAAAAATATATCATCTTACAGGGTCGCTACGGTATGCAGTCTCACTTAGGTCTGCATAGGTTATTTTTTATTAAAAAAACTTTCCTGTAACTTTTACTATTTTCTCGTGTGAACAAAGTAATTGCTGCAGATGATCATTACATGCTTGTGTATCTTGGCTGTTGACTTCAAAATTTTCCCTAGAAGATATGCCAAGACTGAGACTTATGGTACTGGCTGGGTAAGAATTTTGAACCAGTATGCAACAAAATTATAATCTTGTTAAGTTTATTGTAATATTTTTGTTCTATATGATTACTTTTGATTGAGTTTGACTAGATTTTGTTTATTTTCGTTAGAGTGTTACCTGTACTGTACGACTCTTCAAAATGATATGTCAATAATGTATGTTTAATTTCTGTTCCATTACCAGCATTTTCTTCCAGGTTATCATCAATTGCTGATTAGTTTTAATTGTCTGAATTTTATTTGATAACATAACCTCATGACTATTTCTTTCATTCTTTATCAATATAGTCAATGTTTAATAGCAGACTTAGGGAGGCAATCATATTAAGTTACTCAGGCTCACTAGTGCTCTAGTACTAGTTTTAATTTTTGTTTTGAATGAAGAAATGTAGAATTATTTCGGATCATATTTTTCTTTCTTTGCCTTTCTTTCCCTTAATTTTTGTGTACTTTAGATATTCACTTTGCCTTGAGACCTATGCCACATGTGTTAAAACATACATATCTCTACTGAATGAGTGTTCATTGAGAAAAGAAATCAAGAAAGAAGAGAGGAGACCTCTATTGAAACATTTTCCATACGTGATTGTGTCAGATGGATCTTGGGGTTGGCTCATTTGTTGTAGCAAATTCATTAGTTTCACGGCAAGCACGAAATATATCATCCAGGTGAGTCATTTTATGATTCTCTTAGTTTGGGCATATAATGTCTTGATTCTCTCTCTCTCTCTCTCTCTCTCTCTCTCTCTCTCTCTCTCTCTCTCGCTATATATGTATGTATAATAAATTAATATGTAACTTCATGTGAAACTGTTTATTTGTTGTAAGATATTATTTTCTCGATGTGCATATCCCTTTTGAAAAGACAGACAAATACCTATAAGCAAAAAGTTCAGAGAATAATAGGATTTTAAATGATGGAAAATATATGGAAGTTTGAGCTTTCCTTCAAACCTAGCAGCACACTTATGGAAAAAAAAAAAGTTACCCAGACTAGTCTCTTAATGCTCCCAAGTAATCCTCAGGTTATGATTAGTAAATGTTTTCATTTTTAACTCTCGAATGCTTATTTTTCCTTTAATTTTTTGTTTTCAGTCTTCATGATGGGATTTTGTATGGTATGAACAAATGGAATGCAGTTTCCTCCTGTGGTAGTGTGAATATATTATGATGTAGTGACGTGTTTTTTTTAAAATATTTTTTTATTTATGCTTTTTAAGGAAATGGAAGACTGCAATTCAATCTTCTAGTCCACTGATCATCCTTGGGTTTGCCCGTCTTCTCTCTACCAGAGGTGTGGACTATCAGGTAGGTTTTATGATGTTACTTTGCCCCTCTGTTTAATAGATACTTGTTGAATCAAATTGGGATTGCAATCAAGAAATTTTGAATTTCTACATGTAATTATGGTTTCCTGTTTTGAGGTGTTTCATGCCTGTTGGAACTAGAGGTTCTTGCTAGAAATTCTAATTATGAATAATGAGAATTTCCTAGAAAGTTTAGTAAATGGAAGACGGAAGTGTGTTCCTGTGAGAATTGAAACAGCCCCTTTTTCTTTCCCTAACAAGAAAATGAGCTTCAAAGCTTCAACCTGGACCAGAATCCAGCTCAGTGAGGTCAGGCTTTTGAAGCTATTAGGGACTATCAGGTCAATTTGGTATTCGGATTGTGGTCACGCCTAGCGTTCAATTTGAGCTAATTTTAGAATGTAGGGTGACCACTCCATTGAGCTTCTGTTGTTATGAGTCCTTCCATTTAGACACTGATCAGTCATGACAAATAACTTGCCAGCACTTTTATGTGTTCAATAAGCTGTGCTGTGCTGATTTAAACTCTTCTTGATGCTTGTCCTAAACTCTTCTGCTTTTTCATGTTATATTTACACCTTGTAGGTTCATGTGGCTGAATACGGAGTACACTGGAATTTCTTTTTCACACTTGCTGCAATATCAATTCTTACGTGCATAATTAATGTTCCCGCACAGTATTCTGGCATTCTTGGCTCACTAATTCTAGTAGGTACTATCTAACTGAGTAATATTTTTTTAGGTATACCTTTTATTACTTTTATTCTTCTAGTAGATGCAAGACTATTTTATAGCCTAATGGGGTTTCCTATCCTCCAGGTTACCAAGTTTGCTTGACACATGGGTTAAACTTGTATCTGCTTTCTAATGAAAGGGGAACTGATATAATCAGCCAAAACAAGGAGGGTGTTTTTAGCCTATTTGGTAAGTGCTTAAGTTTGCAGATTTGTTATGCTTTATTGATAATCTATATAGTTTGGACTCTAAAATCAAGTTAAAAGGACAGGTTTTTCTTACCTCAAAAAACAAAAAAAAGAAGTGGGATTCATGTATTCAATCCGTCATAAATCATCTCATGACTGTTTTTCTTGATGAAATAGTACATTCTTTGCCTGAACATAAACTGCCATAGGTTGGATGCTGTGAGGGATAGTGTAATATTAGCTTTCCTTTTCATAATGCTATATTATACCAAGTAATGGTAGAAAAGAAAACATCAAAATTTTCCATTTAAAATGTACTTTTTCTTGGAGAAGCAGCTGAGTGGGTGTTGATGGCTCAAATGAAGTTGTAGTATGATAACCAAATTGAATGCTGCACCCAGATTACTTTTTAGGAAGAGCAAACTCTTAAGTCATAATCTCTGCATAACATATACAATACAATCATGATATTTCTCTATGCTCGTGTGTCAGATATACTGTAAATTTTGGAAAACAGGGAAAAGCAATCTAGATTCAGTCTTAGAAAAAAAAGGTGTGGCAGTTTAACTGTGCAATTACCATCTTCATGGTTAAGTCGGGCTTGTAATCAATGTAATTTGGTGCTAGGATCTAAGACTAGTAGTTCTAGCGATCAACTCGCTGCTTTCACATTTTCTCATTATTATGAAAAGGTAAAGGATATAAACAATGATAGAAAGATGAGATTGGCTTGTTTTATTAGTTATTTAGCCTGAGGTCTTTTATCTTTTAAATTAAATGAAGGTTCGAAGCTACAATACAAAATGAAAGTGTGTCGAATTATTTTATTTTATTGTAAAAACTACCAAAATCATCTTTTATAATAGTGGGACAATAGTATCATTCATAATGATACATGAATCCCTTTAAATATGAAAAGTTCAAAATTCATCATTTGATAATTGAAAAATTGTAATAGAATTCTGAATCTTGTTTTCTGAATGTTCTTAGTCACTACAATTACCTACCATTATCCTTATGATCATCACCATCACCACCATCACCACCGAGCTCACTCACTCTAATCTTGATATTTACTAGAGTTTTCCGTAACTCAAACAACGAAGTTAAATGGGTTCCATAACTAAACTTTGGTTGTGATGCAATTAGGTTGCATTTAGTTCATGATTTAATTCATTGGATGACCTAATTGCGGGTATTTGGGGTTCAATGAACATCTCTGATATATCTGGAGAGAATGTCATGTTCTGCTATGCATTGGAAGAACAATTCCGGTTAACATGTTATATACCTTTCTTTTTAGTGGTAATGGATTTGGTTAATCATATGTATAGGAGGTGAACTGCTGAATACTGGACATGAACACTACAAAAACCAATTAGGATAAACTGATGAAAGACAGTATGAAAATCCAAAAAGTTGAGAACTGAAATTATATGAAGTAAATTTAAATGATCACATAACACTGAGAGGAAGCTGAATTATAATCATTCAAGCATGTCTTTTTGAGTTTTGCTTCTTATTGCTTTTTTCTATTCCTTTTGTAAAGTATTTGATTGTTTTCATTCCCAGGATATTGGGGTTTGTACCTTGTTGGTGTCCAGTTAGGAAACTTTCTTTTCTTCAATAACCATTCCTCTGCAACAATGAGGAGCACTAACTGGGCAAAGATTAGAGTCTGGATACTTTCACTTCTGTTTTGGTATTTCTCTTCTCCAATTTGCTTTTTCAAATTTATTTTCTCTCTCCCTTCTTTTCTCTGGTAGCAAGGTTATTGCTTAAGGTGTTATATGTTTCAGGTTATTAACTGTGATTATAGACCGCCACGTCGAGAGAGTTTCCCGTAGAATGGTATGTGTACTTTTGTCTTCGTTTCCTTAATTTATGTACTATTAGTTTTGAGGAAACTAAAATGTACACATTGTGCAGTGCAACCTGGGCTATGTTACACTGGTATTGGCAGTAAATTTACAGGTTATTCCCATTTCCTGTTATTTGGATTTATAAAATTTAAATGGCATATCCATTTCGGAAGATTTTAGTTTCATATATTATTTATTCATTTTGGATAGTAACGTATATAGGGAACAGAGTTGTATTGGTTTATCTTTTTTATTTTTTTCCAAGTTGCACTCTGTCAATTGTCCAACTATTGCTGACTTAAGTGTACATCCCATTTCTGACCAACTGCTCTTTGAAACTGGTTTGTACATTTTTTTTAACTCTTCAAATCGTCACTCATTTTCAGGTGCTGGCAATACTACTGCTCTCCGATTTTCTTCCTGGAAGCAAAACTTCAGTACTGGAAGAAGCATATGACCGGAATTTGCTGGGGACATTTCTTCTGGTATATATATTTTTTTTCCCTTCTTGTGGTAACCAACAAATTTTTGTTTTGTTTTTATCAACATTTGGCAGTTGCTCGTCGATCACACTTGAAATAATCTTAATCTTCTGTTTCTTACAGGCAAACTTGCTCACAGGTTTGGTGAACTTGTTTGTGGATACCCTGTTTGCATCATCAGTCAAAGCCCTTTTTATTTTGATTGCCTATGCGTTTTCCCTATCCTTCCTCATTGGATTGCTAGATTTTTGCGGTATCAGACTGAAATTTTGGTAGGGGGACAATCTGTGTGACAGTCTAATTAGTCAGGGACAGGAACTAAATGAAAATTCCTACAACATACTTTTAAATTCACGCATGTTTTTTTTTTCCCTAATCCACGCTTGATAACCGTGTTTTTTTCGGTAAGGGTGGGGATTTACAAAAGAGAAGGAAAAAGTCATTTTGGTCATTGTAGTTTGTCGAATTTTCTACTCCGGTCTGTGTGGTTTCAATTTTGGCGGTTTGACCTATGTAGTTTGATATTCATCATAATGCAAGGATACGTTTGGATTGGACGTAAATTCGCACTTCTTAGAATTGCGATGGATATCAAATTACCAAGGTCAAATCGCCTGAATCAAAACAACATAGACCAAAGTGAAAAATCTGGCGAACTACAAGCACCAAAAATTACTTTCCGTCGTAAAAAAAAATCAATCAATTGAGGGTTTGTGCAAGTATAATTCGAGTATACATAATGCAAAATAGAAGTATGGAGCTAATGGCCTAACATAATGGCGCCAAGTCCTGATGATGGCATGCCAAGGATTAGGCACAACATCTGGCCTGGGGCATGCACATGAAAATGCATTTGCCATTGGTTGTCAGTTTCTCAGCAAATACAACGACAACTCATGCAACGATTTGTGCATTCGAAACGTAGATGTAACCATCAATTTCCAATAGTACAAAACACTACAGTAGTCTTTCCCCCCAAAAAAAAACACTACAGTAGAAGAGAAAGATACTTGACACGATACCCAAAATAACCTGTATGTGGGGCAAAAAATTAGGGTTGATTATGGAGAAAAATTTGTATGTAATAGGGATGTCACTGTTTGATATCTCCAACCAATTATTTTCCGCTATGCGTGATAAGAATTCCACAAAAAGTAAGAAGATAGGAATAGAAAAATAATGATATCCTCATGAGATGCAAGTCCTCTAGATTATGGTTAATCACAGCAAAGATGTACTTTACCTAGAGAAGGTCACATGGATTAACTTGCAGAGAAGAGGATCTGACAGTTTGGACCATCCTCCCTCCATATGTCCTCGTCGCTAGATAAGGCAACAGTTTTCAGATCTTTCTCTTTGTTTTTGTTTATGTAATTATTAATTCTTTTTTTATAAAGCCATTTGAATATTGCAATAATTTAGTGTACAGTTTTCCATAATGTTATCAGAAAAAATTCTGCTTACAGTCAAACCACATCATTATGCTGATATGCTATGAATTTTTTTTTCCTCATCATTTTAACCCAAGATGTATGCTCACCATCCTTCTTAATACTTGACATATGTTCATAGACATAATCATGTTTAATTTTTTTACTTTGATTTAGGTAACCATGATTATGCTTATGAACACGTGTCAAGTGTTAAAAATGGCGGTGAGCATACACATTGGGTAAAAATTGTGAGAAAAAATGCTCCCATTATTTACTAAAAAAAGAGCATCTACTCTGGTAACATAAAAATAAGCTTTTAAATGGATTTTTATTAGTGGTTGGATTAGATCTACTCATTATGATGAAGTTTTTTTCTTTTTTTATTTTATTTTTTGGGTAAGCCCTAATGCTTGAGATTGAGAAAGTACAAATTAAGCTGCACAGGCAGAGGGACAAGTCTTTTTCACTCTGTTTCTATATACAATGGAACACATGGAGAGGGTGGTTTTTACACTCAATGAATAGTTTGTTTTCCCTTTTAAATAAAGTTGATCATTTTCTGAATGTAACTTGCAAATAATGGATCCTTTTATACCAATTATTGATACCTATACTATGTATGATAATACAGCCTTTTTGCTTTTCTGGATGGATGGGATAATACTAGTTAGCTGGTTGTATAGTATTAAGCCTCGCTGTTTCTTGATATAATTGGCCTAATATTGTTAAGCATCAAAGCATTAGCAATAGAAAGAATGAAGAAGGCTCATGATTAGGGTTAATTAATGAGCTTTTGATCCCTTTAATACTTAGTGTTGCTGCTCACATTTTCCTTTCAATATGTCAATATCACCTACAGGGTTGACAATTGACGTTGCAATGACCTCCTCCTCCTGCATTTGCTGCTGGTCTTTGACATGTAATAAACCAATTTTCATTTTATTAGGCGATATGTATATACATATTATATCTACATAAACATGATAAACATATATTGTAAACATGGTATAAAGCAAAGAGGGATAGTAGAAAACACATAATGTCCGCATAGGAGAAATTGTATGTAGAGTTTATAATAAATAAGAGGAGAGAATCTATCTATGTGTTGGTAGGGTACGTGAGCCAGTCACTTCCTCCAAAACCAAACACAGATTTGAATGTGAGGAGCTGCTTTTGCACAGCTTGTTGTGTTGTTTGTATGCATATATCTATATAGATTTGGGTCCCCCACCTTCCCTTCTCTGGTCCACTGCACATACTGGGCCACTCTTTTTGACACCGTCTACGAAATTGGGAAGGAAACCAAAACTAAGATGACAGATAGAAAAGAGAGAGAGAGACAGAGAGAGAGAGAACCCTCTTTCTCTCTTTCTCTTTCCTTCACTTTTCGAAGCTGAAAAGCACCTCACCTTTTCTGCCTCTCTCACGTGCACCATTTCCCTCTCTCTCTCTCTCTCTCTCTCTCTCTCTCTGTTAGGTTGAAGGGATGGTGCGGTGGGTTTTTCTGTAAAATGATTGTGGTCCTTGAATAGAAAAGGAGCTAAAGGGTAGTGTTTATAAGTCAATATATATTCAAGTGCCAGTGAATCAAATAAAGGTGCTGAAGAAGAAGTGCCAACAGAAAGAGAGAAATACATGACAATGGCTTTAGAAGCTCTTACTTCTAATGAGCCTTTCAACTTCATCATTTATGATACCATCTCCGCAACCCCCTACAGCTTCGAAGACTCTTCAGGGACGACTAGCAATTTCATACCTCCAGACAAGTACTTCTGCACCAGCACCAGTAGCATGAAATCTGATCAAGACACCCAAATTAAGAGGGCGTTGAATTTGGAAGCCGCAGCAGCAGGTGGTGGTGGTAGGCAGAAGCAGAGTTCTCTGGGTGTAAACAATAATAATGCTCAGCAGCAGCAGCAAGGGCGGAAGAAGAGGAGGAGAAAGCCAAGGGTTTGCAAGAACAAGGAAGAAGCTGAGACTCAGAGAATGACTCACATTGCTGTTGAGAGAAACCGCAGAAAACAAATGAATGAGCATCTTGCCATTCTGCGCTCTCTCATGCCTGACTCTTATGTCCAAAGGGTTCTCTCTCTCTCTCTCTCTCTCTCTCTAAACACACCCTCACTAATTAAAATTGAAGAAGAAAGAAGATTAATTAGTATCAAGAAGTGTTTAAATACAAAATACTATCCTTTGGTTAGGATTTTAGTGAAATTTATGACATGCACGCTTTCTATTATTATTTCTTCTCCTTAACTCATGTTGTGGTTATTAGACACTGTTGTTAAATTACTTCTAATCCCATCATAATCAATAACATTTCTCAATTTAATTATATATAATTATCATAATTACTATACACTGCATGTCCACTTTTTCAGAACAATATATATACACTGTTGTGTACACTTTATACATGAAAAAGTAAGACCAATAATTTAATCTCCTGCTTCCACTTTTTTCATCTTGTTTTTGTTTCCTTCTCATTGTTTGTGTGTGTAGGGTGACCAGGCCTCCATAGTAGGAGGAGCCATAGAATTCGTGAAGGAGCTTGAGCACCTCTTGCATTCCCTTGAAGCTCAGAAACTCCAACTTCTACACAATGCAGATGTCTCCACCTCCACCTCCAAAGTCGTGCAAACCCCTTTTGCACAATTACTAGAATGCCCTCAGTACACTTGGTCTCACTGCCCCAACAAATTCACATCAAAAACCAAGGCAGCCATAGCCGATATTGAGGTCACATTAATCGAGACCCATGCAAACCTTAAGATCATGTCACGCAGAATTAGCCCCAGACAGCTTTCCAAGTTGGTTGGTGGAATTCAATCCCTTCAGCTCACCATCCTTCATCTCACTGTTACCACCATGGACCCTTTTGTTCTCTACTCCATCAGTGTCAAGGTACGTATATACGCAATAATAAGGAAAATGTTTGTTCGGAACTCTTACTTTCTTATTAATCACTTTGACATACACGTATAAATTATTTTTACATACGTATCAAACCTTGATCTACTAGAATCAGCGTCTTCGTCATTCTGTTTTGATAGTTTCACCACCAATAATTAAGGTTTTGCATTTTTGTGTACGTTAGAGACGTTTCCTTATTTGCAGATATTTGTTTGCTTTTTTAAGAAATCAATGAATTTGGGTCTAAAATTCGAACATTCTAATTCTGCATGCAGATTGAAGAAGGGTGCTTACTGAGTTCGGTGGATGACATAGCAACAGCAATTCACCACATGCTTAGAGTAATTGAGGAAGCAGCTACCTTGTGTTAATTAAATTCTCCTTTTATATATATTTTTTTT